TGGTGGGTTTGAAAAAAAAGGATAACACTAGTTATGAAGGAAAGGGAAGGAAATGATAATTTTAATTTCCTGTTGTGTTTGGTTGATTAATAAAGGAAAATGAAGGGAAGGGTAATAATCATGCTTGGAAAAAGAAAGGAAAAGAAAGAAAAGGGAATTATTTTAATAAATTGACTATTATACCTTTTCATATTTTAAAAGATGTATATATATATATATATATATATATATACTGTCTCTTCCTATACCAGGCCATGATGGGCAAAAAAAAAAAATATAGGGCAAATCATTTCAACCTCCCTAATCTCGTCGCCATATATATATATATATTGTCTCCTCCTATATCAGGCCATGATGGGCCAAAAAAAAAAAAAAAAATAGGGCAAATCATTTCAGCCTCCCCAATCTCGCCTCCATCTCTAATCTCGTTCTCAACTCTGTACTTTCCCTCTCTCTCTCTCTGTGCACTACAAGAATCAGAAGTTCAAAACCCAAATCTTTCAGTTTATCTATTTGTCTGCAAGAATCAAAAATCAAAACCTATATCTCAGTTTCCATCGCCGCTGTTCCAGTTCAGGCTCGCCGTTCTTAAGCTTCAGCCGCCGGCCCGCCGTATCTCACTCTCTCTGCAACTGCTAACCTGTATGTATATGTAATCTTGAGGGCAAATTAGGCATCACAAATAATAAATCAACCCTCCCCTTCACTTTCCTTCCTTTTCCTCCCATTTTTGGGAGGATAAGCAAAACACTGTTCAAACCTTGTGTTAACCGTCCAAACCCTTCCCTTTCCTTCCAACAATTTTTGCAAAACACAAATTTTTAATCCCCCTCCATCACCTTCCCTTCCCTTTCCTCCATTTTCCATTGCACCAAACTAACCCTAAGACTCTGTACACCAGATAATATTCGAATGACACATGTTTTACGTTAAGTTTTGCTTTGATGTAAAATATTTTTTTAAAAATATTATTTATTTATTTATTTATTTTTTTGTGTAAAAAGGAGACTCGAAGCAAGTATTAATGTTGATCAATTTTAAATTCAAATTCGTCAATGTTTTCTCTTACTCATACATTGTGTTTTTTTTTTAATTATTCAACTTATTATTGAGCTTAAAGAATTTATTGAGCTCTTCATCTACCTGCCAAATGATGGCCACAAATATACATGATAAAAAAGCAAAAAAATTAATGATCCGAGAATGATTAGTCAATTATTCTTTGGCATTTTGTTGAATTTTATATTCAGTTTTTCTTGTTACTTTGAATAGAAAGTAAAGTGAAATAGACTTATAAACAATCCATTACAATAAATTTGGCTTCTTGCCACGAATTTTTTGTCATGCGTAAAATTTTGTGGCAAAAAGTAGTGTTTTGCCACAAAATTAAATTCTTATGGCTAAATTTCGGTAATTGCTACAAAGTAACTTTTTCGTGGCAAATATTAGGTTTTTGCCACGAATATTAGCAATGACCTAAAATTTTATGACAAAATATCAATTTTGCCACGACGAATTAGGGACGACATACAAAATTGTGGCAAAATGCTATTTTTGCCCCGAATTTTAATTCGTGGCAATTGTATGTTCTTTTTGTCACGTATATATTTTCGTGGCGAATCACTTAACAATTTGTCATGCTGTTATTTTCGTGACAAAAATGTTATTTTGACACGAAGTTTTTTTCTCGTGGCTAAAAGATTGATTTTGCCACGAATTATCAATCGTGGCTAAGGTAAGCTCTTTTGCCATGTAACTATTTTTGTGGAAAATCTATTAGTAATTTGCAACGATGTTTTCTTCGTGGCAAAATAATATTTTTTGCCACGAATTTTTTGCCATTGTGGCAAAATGTCATTTTTACAACCAATTTGTTTTTGTGGCAATTGGGAATCCTTTTGCCACGTAATTCATATATTTGTTGGTTATTATTATTTATTTATTTGTAATTCCTTACATAATGAGTCTTGAAATACTATATCCCCACCTAAATAAGCAAATTAATTGTTAATAAAGCTCCAAAATGACATTTTCGATCTTAAAGTTGACCCTTTTTAAATTTCACTCTTTGTCATTCAGATTAGAAAAAAAAAAAAAAAGGTACCAAACATTCTTATATTGAATTTAAATTAAATTAATAATATTTAATTTCATACTGCAATTTTATTTAATTAAAACTTAAAGGTAGAATAAAAAATATAGATCATATATCAAATCTTTAATAAATTTACAACTACAAAATTTTACTTCTATTTAGAAAGGATATAAATAAAATATTTAGAAATTTAGGAATTAAATGGAAAAAATATCTCAAAAGTAGAACTTAATTGTAATTTTTTTTTAATTACTAGTAATTTCAGGATTTTAATTCTTAAAGATATGAATCCTAAAATAACCCTCACCCTAGCCAGATATAATATTGTCCGCTTTTGAGTACTACTCCAGGTTAAACACACTTAACTCTGGAGTTTTGATAGGTTCACGGCCATCACGGTTTTAAAACACACAATACTGTCCACTTTTAGGTACTACTCTAGGTTAAGCACACTTAATTCTGGAGTTCTGATGAGTTCACTATTTTAAAACACGTTGTGTCATAGAAGGGTATTGAATTTACATATAACACTTACCTCATCCACACCTAGGCGATGTGAGATTATGCACCTGTAGCTCTCCCAATGTGGTATATACACCCGACCACAAAGTCGCCATAATCACCCCCTTTGGGGTTAACGTCTTCTTAGGAGATCACCCATCCTGATACTACTCCAGGTTAAGTATGCTTAATTCTGGAGTTCTGGTGGGTTCGTAACTATTACGCATTTAAAACACATTATATCATAAAAGGGTGTTGAATCTATGTATACCACGTGTTCCATCCATATCCAGGTGATGTGGGATTGTGCACCTGTAGCTTGCCTAATGTGGTAGCCTACTGGTGCCACCTCACACATACCTGCCCACAAGGTCGCCACAAATCCGTTAATATAGTCAAATAATTAAACATAGTAATCCTACCTATGTCCTTTTTAGTCATTAATTAAGGTAATATGGCACAATAATATAAGTTTTATAATAGCTAGATAAATAATAAACTTAAATTGGTGTTATTGAGAATAAGACTTAATGGTACTTTATTAGACATAATTAAACAAAACCAAATGTAGAAACATTAATAAATTAAATAAAACATAATAATTCCACTTATGTTCATTTGACTCAATAAATGGATCAACGTAAAAGTGTACAATAATATAAGTTTTGTAATGATCCAAAATGATACCAGTCATAAAAAAAATAAAAATAAAAATTTAGCATGACCCTTACTAAAAATGGTCCTATCACAACCTATTGAAATGTATAAAAAAAATGTAATGGCCTCACTTGACCATAAACTAATATATCATGTCCTAACGCACAATGCAAATAATATAAAACATTCCCAAAATAACAATATATATATAAAAAGAGTCTCGTTCCTCCAATTCCTTTAAAAAAACATGGAAGTGCAAGTCCACTACCTAGTCCCATACTCCTTTACAATGAACATACTCTAATTACATCAATTTACAATCCATGAAGTACAGCTGAAATCAAAAGTTCATAATTTACAACATTATACAAATTATACTAAAGTTTTACAGAATAGTCAAGATTTATATTTATAAAATATTAAGGTTCTAAAACAAAAATAGTAAAATATAAATCTCCAATCCCGTCTAATCTTGTGGTAGATGGTCGTTCGCTACCTCCTTTCCGTATCCTAAAAAAAATTAATAATAAAGGGGTGAGCACAATGGCTCAGTAGGAGGTGCCTAAGACACACTTCTTGTGACCCCGTGAATCCAAACAAGGATTTGGAAAAAGAATCGGGATCATGCTATTTCCGGGAAAAAAAAAAAATAACCATAACATCAATAACAGTAATCCAAGTCATAAACGAACCATGCAATGATATGGAATGCAATGTCGCTCCCCATTTTCAAAACTTTTTCCGTCATCATTTTCAAACCGTTAGTGTAACCCGTCCCATGACAATTCCATGGCGGCACGAAAGAAGGATTGGCTAACTGGCCTTGACCTGTAGCAACTCCATGGCGTCATTTGGGTTTAGGTAACTCAACCACGTTAGGAAAATCTTCTTAGTTTCCTCTAGGCCACACTAATGCTGCGGTCCCTAGGCAACTCTTAGACGAACGAGTTTTCGCAAACCCTTTTAAAACTTTTTCCCAAAACCTTTTTCATTCCATTTCAAAATAACTTTCCCATTTTCCTTACCCAATTCTTATGCATGAAATGCATCATACCTTTTTATACCATACCAATACTCATTTTCATACAATTAATTCAACTTAAATCACATAGCATGCTTTACAAGTAAATATAAAAAAATATACACATGCTTTTATTCAACAATAATCTAGCATGGTAAGCTTATAAAACATGAATTTTAGTCCATATAAGGATACTCAATCACAACACATCATTCAACACATAATTAAACATTCCATATGATGAGTGCCTGTGTTATACACACAATAATTGATATAGTACCAAACAATTTTGAAAACGAATTTCTTTAGACACTTTTTCAAATATTTATATTTTCTATCAAATTTAACCATCCTATATAGAATCTAAATTTTCTAAATTAATGGAAAATCAATATATTAAAAACAAAATTGTGTATAATTAGAGACTATAATTATTTAAATATCTGAAAATTAGTTTTATTTGTTTGACACCTGTAATACATATCAAACTATTTCAAAAAATAATTTATTTATTTATTTAAATTGCTTATAAGAAGTTTTATATATTTAAATATTTGTTAAAAAAATTGTAAATTTTTTTGTGATAACATTCTTTATATTTAAACTTTTTTTTGTTCTTTTGGTTAAATACACGGAAGCGCCAAAGTTTCGCGCTTTGATATTTCGACAAAGGAAAATGACGCGCCTTTTTCCCATTGGATGCTGGGCCTCCTTGGTTTTCCTATTGATACGCCAGTAACGCCACTCACACATAATTCTCTTATCTTTTTCCACTCTCTCGTAACACGACCCTCCTCCTTCCACAGCAACATCCAAACAGGTTAGCGGCCATATCTATCGTTCTCTTCAATCATTCACATTTTCACTTGATCTATCCATTACTGGTAAGAATTCTCACTCTTCTATTAGGAAATTGATTTACAATTAGGGGATTTTAAGGTTTTCATGTTGTGTTCAGGGATTTAAGGATTTTGAGGATTTTGAGTTTCTAATCCTTCCTATGTATTTTCAGTTGCCTATCTCTCCCTACCTTTATTCTTGAGCGCATAATCTACAACCTCAGCTTCGATCTATCTATACTGTTTTGGAAGAAAAGGTATGTTGGTGCGCAGCCTGTCAATCTCTATCAATTTTTTGTTGTTCTCTCCTAAATTAGTTAAGTTTTCCTATGATATGATCTTGTAATAGTAGTCTTTAACTCCAATTTTTTTTTTTTTTTTTTTTTTTTTTGGGCTTAAGGAGACAAAATAAGATTGAATTTAGGGTTTGTAAAATTTCCAAATGGGAATCTGATTCAAATTTTTGATGGTTCTTGGTACGAATAGTTCTGAGAATTTGGGAATTTTACAGTTATTATGATCAATTACTCATTACAATGATTATTTTCTTAATTTAAATTTATTTTAAGTGCAAAAATGATAAACATTCATGTAGCTTGTTTGTTATTGTATTGAACTTATATATTGGGCGTGTAGAAACATTGGGAATTTCCCCCCTCTGCGCCTGTGGCTGAGGCTAACGTGGAAGCTGAGAGTGATTCGGCAAACTGGGTACATTACATGGACACGTGTCATCATTAACCTTCCTTCTCATAGGTCCTTTCTTCAGTCAACTGGTCAGGTTCAGCATATTTATATAGGGTGAAAATCCCATCTCCTAAGTCGCTTCACATATTTGTTCCATTTCTGATCATGCTGTGTTCCACTTCCTACTACTTTTATATATTCCGAATCACAATATAGAATTTCCTGTATGTTCTGCCATTTTGCCTTCTCTTTTTTGTTTCTGACATCTTTTGTCATCATAGACTATAATAAGTTTCTTAATGCCTCTTCTGGAATGGGCTCTGCAATCATTTCATTTTCCCATACCCATTGCTCTTCTCCAGTTTGTGTTTGCTTTTCTCCCTCTTTTAATAGTGGTTTGATATTCATTTTAATAAACTTATATATGATTATGAGTGGCGGTTCTAAGCCCCTAAAGACTTGACAATATATTTCTTTAAGCCCATCCATATACATGATATTAGTAATGAAATAGTTGTTGCCTATATACGTATGTGGACGCCTCTGGTTATATCTTTTTCAGTAGCTCTACAACTTGCATTGCTATAAATTGCCTCTCTGCTGAATAAAGTTTAGTGTTGTTGTCACTTGTGTCTTTCTTCTATCTTTCTCCAAGACAGACGCGTACAGTGACCTTTCTTTTCTTCTTTGCGATGCTATCGTAGAAGCCTATTTCAGCTTTCTCGCTTTTTGTATAATCCTACACGGTCTTGAAATAAGGTATTTCATATAGTAAAAGAGACTTTCTTAGACCATTTCCCACTTCAGGATACGCAGCAGACCCCTTGTGGGATTTAGGCCTCGGTCTGGCCGCCCCTAACCTAATACAATAAAAACGTTTATCCTTATTGTTTACTATTTATTTAGAAGGGAAATCATTATAACCACTAAACTTATATATCACTGTTCACTATTGTTATAATTGTTCAGAAGGGAAATTAGTGTAACTATTAAAACTTATATATCACCGTTCACTTATATTTGGTAAAGCAAATCATTGCATTCTTTCCTCTTTTTTTTTTTTTTTTTTTTTTTTTTTTTTTTAAGTAGGCTGGGGGAGGGGTTTTGAGCACATGCATTAATGATTTTGTCTTCATTTTAACTTTATTGTCCTCTTGAAGTTTCAAAAGCTTGATAATTTTATTTTTTTCATTTTTACATAATTTTGACTAATGCTACAATAGTTTGTCTCACATACTTTAATTTTGTAAAATATCTTTTTTCTCTTAAGGAATTAGTGATATAAACAACAAGTATGGCATAGAAGAAAATGTGTTGCCGATAGCAAATGCACCTGAACCATAATGCCCATTAATCTCTCGTTCGAATACCTGCAGGTTTTTATCAAATAGATTTTAGGCATTGCATTCAACTAGTTTGAAGCATATCACCAAGAAACTAAAAGTTTTTAGGATTGAAGAATTATGATGATTTTCACCTTCATATCCTCCACAAATGAAGGGAATCCACCAATTGCCATGAATGTTAAGAATGAAGCACAAAACATAAGCATTGCACCTAAAGCCTGAAACAATGGGAACATAGACAATGATTAATTTAGGCTTATGTTAATATACAATTAATGATCAAATTCCATTGTGATCATCTCATGTTTTTACCTGTATTGAAGCATAACTTGAGCCAACATTGTAGTAGATTGTGCCAAGACATAAGGCTATTATGACATAGATATCAAGTCGCAGCCAGTAGTAGCCAAGATCACGATACATGTTTGATGAGCGCTGAAAAGTGCGCATTTAAATCCCTTAAGCTTAGGTGTTCTGGAATCTTTATCTATCTTATTTTTCCGCTTTAGATTGATTTTGTATTATTTCCATTTTCAGGTACTTATCCCCAAAATAAGCTAACTCAGCTAAATAAGAGCATAATTGAAGCAATCTTGAGATGAATCAAAGAAATGAGCAAAGTGGGAGCAAAAGGAAGCAAGTGGTGGAAATTCAGCAAGTTCGATCGATTTCAGAAAATATTCGATCAATCGAAAGTTCATCAATCTCAGCATTCCAAGATGGATCCAAGCTCTTTTGTCCCTATCTAAAGATTCCACAAAGTTCGATCGATTCAACTTTATTCTGATCAATTGAAAAGATTCCATCTTATCCACTTGTACCACCCTATCTACTGCATTTGTCTCTTTCCCAAAAATATCTTCAAAATATCTCAGATTTGTTTTTATCTAAAAAGGCGCTGCCATAGAGGATCGATCCAGCTTAAATTCGATAGATTTCAGCCATGTTCGATCAATCTCACTATAAGTTCGATCAATCGAACTTCCCAAAGCCCTAGAAAATTCAATTTCCAGCTCATTAAAAGTTGTCTCATATCCAATCATTGGAAGGAATATTAGTGTACGAGTCTAGCTCATTTGGGGTGATATTTAACCTACCTATATAAGGAATATGAGCCACTTTTTGAGAGTATATACTAGAGAGTAGATAGAGACATAATTTCTATATTTTTAGTGAGGAAGAAAAGAAAGAAGAAGGCTAGAGAAATAAGCTTGGAGTTCTTTCACCAACCAAGAAGATGAGCAATCTCTACCATGGAATTAGCCCTTGAGGGTTGGAGGACACCATCTATGAGTGGCTAGACATTCTCTCGGGGCTAGAGTTAGCCCTAAGCATGCTTTTTATATCTTGATTTATGTATTTTTGAGGGAATTTGTATTGTGATACATGTTTTGACACTTTTATATACATAGATCTTGTTTATTCAATAATTTGTGTGGTTTAATACTTATAATTGATCATTTCATTCTATCCATATGTCTATGTATGCTAGAATAGATGTTCATGTGTTTGTCTCTATTTCTTATGTTATTGATGCATGCCTATGTGTATTAATGCTATAGATTTAGAGATTGTCAAGACGTAGTACTTAATGAAATGCTCTTGTGGTTTATTTGATGGTTCATATTCATTTCTTGATGGATTGTGCCTCTCCCTTAGTTTACTTAGTTTAATTTCATGTCATTAGCTTAATTGTAGTGTAGTCGTAGTTTATGTGTTAAATGGGAGGACAATCCATGTTTGTTGTTTGATATTCCATACTTATGAAAGCAAGTAATATATATCTCTAACCTTGTGATGTATTTGGATTGTGAGCTTAAAGAACGGATTAATGGCTTAATTTGATATATTGTGCTATCCACCATGTTGCTTAGATAATATATGTTTAATTTGTCATCTATGCTTGTTAAAACAATCACACACACACACACACACACTATGTTGTAATACATGTTTTTCTCATCATTAATCATTTATTAAGGGTGTAGAAAAGCTATGCTTATGGGTGATCTCTAAACCCCAAGATCTCTCCCTTATTTTCTCTTCATTATATTTAATTACCTATTTTAATTTAAATTGCATCTTAGTGTAATTCAATCACCAACCAATCTTTTGATCACTCGACTTATTAACTCTAATATCGATTCCACAACCTAATACGACTTACCAATCTCTTGGGACGATCCCTAATTTCCCTAACTATATTTTTAGTGAAAGGTAGTAGTGGCAATTTCTAAATGTAAAACTTGGCCACATTTATCATAACTCTACACCATTATCTTTTGGTGCACAAACTTTGGGTTTGGGACGGCACAATACCAAGTTTTTGGCACTGTTGCCGGGGAGTTGATTGAAGGCAACGTCGTATTTGTGGAATCAATTAGGAATTAGTACTCTTTTGATCGTGTTTTTACTTTGTTTTCATTTTCATTTTGGTTACTTATTGTGTTGGTTCTTGTTTGACTAGGTGCATTGAAAAGAAGGTGAGCAAAGGAGCATTTCAAACAAGGAGCTAAGCAAAAGCAAGGAAAAAGCTAAAATTTAAAAATTTTGCAAGGCTAAAATTGAAAATTGAATTGAAGTGCTAAAGGACTCTTTGTGAGTTCCTTCTTAACTCAATCTCTAGTTAAATCGTCGTCTCGCGTGGAGGCTTGTATTTCAATTCTTAAATAAATCGTGAGCCCACGTGGAGGCAATTTACTTTTCTTTTCATATTGTTGATAGCATGGGAGTATGGGAACATTCTATGTGGAGGAAGTTTGTTGATTGTTGATTTGTTGCGAAAGTGAAGTGTTTGTTTATTGCTTATTGCTTATTGTGTTTTGTTGTGCATGCATGGTCGTAGATCATTGAAACCTACTCTTGTCCCTCTAAATTTTCATTTTGAATCTGTTGTTCGAAAACCTAGGGGTAGAGGAAGTTCTAGTCAATCCATTTTATCAATAGAAGGACATAATGAGGACCATGTGGAGGACTTTGGTCACATAAACCAACAAGGCATCCTCCACCCAAATGTGCATCATGATAACGTGCAAGTACCATTAGGCATGCTAAGGCCATTCATTCACCCACCACAACAACAAGGCCAAGTTCCATTGGGAATGCCAAGGCCAATCTATGCTCCATCACTTCCTATCATTCAAGGCAATTAAGGTACCTATGTTGTACCTCCAATTGCTAATCCTCCGATTGCTTTAAGAGATCACTACGTGCCTAATGAATACAATGCACCTACATGCATTCAATTGCCGCCATTTAGAGCACACCACTATGAGATCAAACCACAAACCATTCAAATGCTTCCTAACTATCATGGACTTCTAAATGAAGAACCTTACAAGCATTTGGATGAGTTTCCTGAAGTATGTTCCATTGTGAGATACATGGACATGCCGGAAGAGGTTTTAAGGCTTAAACTTTTTCCATTTACCCTTAAAGATAAGGCAAAATATTGGTTTAACAATCTTAGGCCTTTTTCAAGAACTTCTTGGGCAGAAATGCAACAAGAGTTCTTGAAGAAGTATTGTCCGGTTTTTAAGACCAATGCTATGAGAACCTCAATTCGAGAGTTTTCACACAGGGATGGGGAAACGTTCCATGAGGTATGGGAAAGATTCAATGAATTGCTTAGGAAGTGTCCACATCATGACATGCCCAAATGGCAATTAGTTAAATATTTCTTTGAGAGCTTACCAGACAATTATAAGGGCATGGTTGATGCTTCCATGGGTGGCTCTTACATTGATAGTCATGAGGATGACGTGTGGCGTCTTTATGAGAGCATGAGTGAAAATTCTTTGCATCGAACTTTATCTTCCAAGAATGGTAGGAATTGAAGTGGAAGGAAGAGTGTTGGATTACATCAAGTCGACCATTCTAATGAAATAGCTGCCGAGATGAAATTCTTATCTCAAAGGTTCGATCAATTCTTGATCAACCAAAACTTGACAAATCAAGTATCTCCTGTCCCTAACCATTCCCATCATGCATCCAATGAGACATGTATGACTTGTTCAAGTGTTTTACATTCTACTTCCAATTGTCCCCATGGACATATGCAAAATGAGCATCATGAACAAATCAATGCAACTTTTGTTAATTAAGGGAATAATCCTTATGGCAATCATTATAATCTTAGTTTGAGGAATCACCTGAATTTCTCTTGGAGAAACCAAGGGGAAGGTTCAAACCCTTCCGAAGGTGGTTTCCAATGGAAGTATGTTCCACCTCCAATGCAAAGCCAAGGTTCCCAAGGATATATACCATTTCAATCACAAGGAAATCAATTTTCTAATTCTCATTTTCCTAATCAACCATTATATTCTCAAGGAAATGTTTGGAGTCCCGCTTTCGAAGAGAAAGTTTTGACCGCTTTAGGCACTCTAGAGGTGAATACTCAATTGCTTTATTCTTATTCTCAATCCATTGCTAAGCTAGAAACCCAAGTAGGGCAAATAGCTAGTACTTTAAATGCTAGAGAGAAAGGGAAAATGCCTTTGAATGCCCCACAAAAGTAACAATGTGTTGTGGAGACTCATTCTTCATCGGAAGGTCACACAATAGAGCATGTCCATGCGGTGACTACCTTAAGAAGTAGGAAGATTGTGGATAACCAAGTGGGTATATCCAATGAAGAGAGTAAACCGGTGCAACCATAAGTTGACACCCGTCCCGTTTCTCATCTTATTTCTCCTTCATTGTATATGCATGATTTTTCAAATGAGAATATCTTGAAAAATGATTTGAAAGGTGATTTTGAAAAGATAAATTTGCAAAATGATTTCAAAACTTCTTGTGCTGAAGAGACTTCAAAGAAAATTTTTGAAAAGGTTTTTGAGCCAAGAGCTCTATTCTCGGATGCCTTAAAAGGATCAATTTCAATTGACAAGCAAAAGGCTAAAACAAATGAAATTATGGATGTGTTTAGGCAAGTGAAAGTGAATCTTCCACTTTTGGATGCAATCAAGCAAATTCCGACTTATGCCAAGTTTTTGAAAGACTTATGCACCCAAAAGAAGAAGAACAAAAGCCAAGCACCTAGGAAAGTGGTCTTAACCGAGCAAGTAAGCTCAATTTTGCAGCATAACACTTTTTTGAAGTTTAAAGACCTCGGTTCACCTACCACTTCATGCATCATTGGAGATCATATCATTAATCGGGCTCTTCTTGACTTAGGAGCAAGTGTTAATCTTCTTCCATACTCGTTATATGTCAAATTAGGCTTAGGAGACTTGAAACTGACGTCGGTGGTTTTGCAACTTGCTGACCGATCCATCAAAAAGCCTAGGGGTATCATTGAGGACGTATTGATTAAGATTGATAAATTCTTCTTCCTCGTTGATTTCGTTGTCGTTGACACGAAATCGGTCTCGAATCCTAAGAGCCAAATTCCCGTTATCCTTGGCTGTCCTTTTTTGGTAATCGCGAATGCCAACATTAATTGTAGGACTGGGATAATGAAGATCTCATTTGACCACATGAAGGTGAAGTTGAATATCTTCAATCCGAACTCCAATTCATTTGATAAGCATGAAGAAGTGAATGTTGTAGAGAAATATCATAATCTTGAATGTGAAGGAATAGAGTCTTTGTGTGAAACCAAAATTTCAAAAAGTCCATTTTCAATCCCGAATTCCAAGAAAGTTGTTCCAAAATTTTGTTTTGAAAGGGCATGGAAGCCCAAAGATCATTGTGACCAAGGACCAAAAAATTCTTTTGAGCGTAATCCAACAAGTTACCTAGGGAATCATTTGTTTGGTAGAGTTCAAAGCACTTATCACCCCATTAAGGAGAGGATACACTACAAGATGTTTGACCCGGGCTAAAAGAGCCTAACGTCTTGCTAGAGATGTTAAAGATTAGTACATTTCGTAGGGTGTCACAACCCTATTCCTCCCTCATTTCTATTTTAAATTTCATTTCTTGCGAAATCTTAATATTTGTTTTAGGATCATAAACATTGCTAGGAACTGTGATTAGGATTGTATGCACTTTCATGTTGAAAATAAGCATTTTGTATAAGTTCAATCGATCTCCAAGGAGGTTCGATCGATCGAACTCCATACCTGCATCCAATCACCTCTCTGTCCAATCGTTCGAAGAAAACCTGCATATTTCAGTTCTCTGTCCCATCGTTCGAACTTGTTCCTAGATCGATCTTTAGCTCTTCGATCAATTCAACTTCATCTTGGATCGATCTGCAGTCTCAACACTTAGAAAATTTTTGAACCTATATCCAACCTGCATCAAAAGGCTCTCTGTCCCATCGATCGAACATGTCTGCAAATTTTTGCATGTTCGGTCGATCGGAGTCATTCTTCGATCGATCTTGGAGAGATTGATCTTTGTTCTTTGATTTAGTGTTTTAAGTTTGATTTTTTTGTTTTGAATTTTAAATTTGAAATAATTAATTATATATATTTTATTTTGTTTTATTTTTGTTTTTATTTTTGT